AAAAGGTTGTATTTGAGGTAAGCGTACTACTACATCAGAACTGAAACCGGTGAAATCGGATCACGGCCAGATTTAGAGATGCGCCACATCCAGCATTATTCTTTTCTGAGCCTATTGAAGTTCACAAATGAATGAGTTACCAGTTGGCCAGCTAAAAAGCAAGGAAAGAAGCACTGCACATTAATTCTCCAGGTCCACAGTCATGCAGATTTAAGAGACTGCAGGGTACCTAACAATTTCACCGCAAGGCAAACAAACATTTTGCATATGCAAGACTACAAAAACCACTACAGGCCACAGCTAGGAGGTTACACAGGCTGCAATCAGACCATTTGCTAAGGACACGACTGTTTCCAAGCTGCAAATTTGCGTGCCTACCCCTTAGTCATCACAGTCAAGTGTCCAACACTATTTAAGCCTTCACATTGCAGAATATAAATTCTTTTCCTGGGTGTTGCAGCAGTACAACATCAAACAGATTATTTAACCATCTGGGATGTAGGGTCAGTAAAAGCAGCCACAAACTGCTAAACAAACAAAAACATTAAGCTGAGGAGCACTCTTCAGACACTGTGCTCAAGTCAGGGGTGCATTCCAGCCGTTGCAAGCTGGTCTGTGCTAGTCATGGCTGATCCAAGGGCACCTCCCAGTTTATACACAATGAAGCCTGCTCCACTACAATAGGATTCCGGTTTAACAATATAGAGAGGACATGAACTATTTGTGCTAGCCAAGTTGCTGCTAATGGGTCTTGCCAGTCTTCTTCATCTGTAGCTGGAAATCCTAGCAGCAGGGGAGGTATGAAACACCCCACGCTGCTGGTTTCCTGCAAGGGAAAAAAAGCTTCTTTTCCTGCCTCCCCATTATGCTGCTGCTGTCATCTTCCTCAAATTGCATTACAGTGCACTACAGCGAGAGCAGGGAGAGGAGGAAAGTCTTCTAGGCAGCATCGCCGCTCTGCTGCAGGCAGCTGTCAACATCGCTGCCTGTTCCACTCTGCTATCCCACTGTAACACGTCTGGCCAACAACATTTGTACTTGCCACCGGTATTTGGGTAAGCGCCCCTTCTGCTACCGGCCTTCAGGTACCTTCAAGCAAAAATGATCTGCAAGAGAGGTTTCCCTCCCCCGTTCCATCAAATATAAAAATGCATCATGTCTTCAGGATGGTATTTGGAAGTAGAAGCACGAATCTGTTCCTAACTCTGGTTTTGCAAAGGCTGAAAAAGCCAACCTCTGTCTTCCTTTCTCTTATTGAGAAACAGCAATAACAGTGCCCACAGCTTGGTAAGAGCACATCAGTGTAGACAAAGCATTGTACAGGAGCCTTCTGTGAGAAGTGATTTAGACAAAATATATTACTTGAGGCCGTTTTCCATCCTTGTATTCCCCAAACAAAGATTCTAGCTAGTACAAATCCTGATCGCCTTATACTACAGAGTAATATCACATGATGCCTCTACAGATCTTGTCCAAATGTTTATCTAAATAATGCAAACAGTAGCTTGGCCTTCTTACAGAGATAAACAGACCAAGTGTGAGCAATACAGGACTTGTCCTGAGAAGCCAACTGAAAACACTTCAGGTCACCCTGACACCTACATACGCTCCCAGATTTATTTCAGCTCATCAACTTCGCTTCTCGTTATGAGCAATGATGACAGCCTCCAAAAGTCACCCTGTGAACAGACAGGCACCATCGGCATCAGCAAAGGAGCTGGGCTCCCCCAAAGCCAGCAAGGAAGCCATGCTTAATTTAAATTCCCCCGACCTGGGTCAGAAACACTATGAGATGGCATCGTGACTTGGGGTAGCAGCTGCCCTGTGATGAAATCTTTCCCCAAAGCCCAGTGCTTTTTCCACTTAATCAGGCACTGACAGTTCCCCTCACGAACGCAGGGAAGGAACCACAGCAGCACTGGTAATTAGGAGAAAGGTGTCATTCAGCAGGAATATGATTTCTAGTCCTCAGGAATTAAGCTTTCTCAAGGACCGTTATGCATTTAAAACCACCGCAAGCTCTTAAGCACTGACCCAGAGGGAAAACATCACTCCTGAGATATTCCAAAATAAGCCTGAAATTCTATAAAAGCGACATGAAGGCTGCTGAGAGCGAGATTATCCCAGCTCAGCAACGCATTCCTTCTTATCTCGCATCTCGGTGCTTTGGCAAAGATAACTTTATCCAAGCCACCAGGACACTGCTAAGTGGCCTTTTTCTCTTTTTCCTGCTCTCCCTGCCTACCCCCCCCCCAATTTCCCACATTTCTCTGTCCCAGTAACCTGCTTAAAACAAAACTACTCTACTTCTTCTCAGAATAATGCTGATCAGCATGTTATTTAGCTCAGTTTCAAACACAGGAACTACCACGTCAGTACACCGATAACCTTATCTCCTGGGCTGCTACTGGAAGATAGCTAGTGTCCCAAGTCAGCTGCATGTCTCGCACCTTCCACTGCTCACTGTATTAAAAAAAGGCACTCACCCCACCAGGGTTAGATCCTACTGCGAGTAATTGATATTACATGTAGCAGCTTGAAAAGCCCACCCATTGACCAAGGCAGGCAATACACAACACTTATTTTAGTGCACGCACAGACTTCTGAGACTGTTAGCGCCTCTCCTTTAAGTAGTTAAAAAGATGTCTGAATTCAATAATTTAAATGGAGACTTAAAATATCTCCAGACTGAATCCACGTGCAAAAAAACCCCCAAGCTTCTGATGAGAGGAATTAGTGGCGCAGTTCTGACTGTCCCGAAAAGAATGCAGCCGGTGGCAAGCCCTGACGCCCATTGCTGCACCGAGCTGCTGGCGCTATGACACAGTAAACCACTCACAATGACTTTAAAAAGAAATAAATAAAAATAAGACACCCATTCCAAATTAATGAATGGGAGCTTCTTCCAGCATGCACTAAAAAACACCCAAAGGGCTCCACGTCTCTTGTACTTGGGTTTGGGCGACTCAGGCTTGCTAAACAGCTCCTGGCCCCCGAGATATGCTTCCTGCCTCTCTCCAGCTGTGCCAAAGTCACCGGAGTTGCATGCTCGCTCCACCTATTTTTGCCACAGGACTTTTTAGCGATTTGTGTCCCATTTCAAAGCACAAGCCACGCTGCCAGCAATCGTAGCTTGCTGGCGGCAGTAACGCCCACTGCATTCTCAGGCAGACAAAGCATGGACTACCCAGGAATCTGGACTTCCGAGGCAGCTTCTGAAACACAAGCCCAGGAACAGGCTGCCAGCACCCTGCTGGAAACCAGAATGTACCTTATCATCAGTAAAGTCTGCCCCAACCGCTGTTCCAGGAACTGTTATTCGTGCCCTGACTTATGCAGTTGCCCGAGAAGGATGCCTGCAGCCAGGCTGACAGGAAAGCATCCTAGGAAGGAAAGAAAAAGAGACGGAAGGCCCATTACCAAAATGCAGCACTACCAGATGGGCTGAATGTCTCTACAGATCTTCAGGAAGTGGGTCTGAGTCCTTTCCCAAGTCTTGGTATTCCAGGCACAAACTCCTGTCAAGATGATTGTTTATTAACATCTAGTCACACCATGCAGACACCCAGCACATGAAATCTATTAAGATGTTTACAGTATCAAAAGGCCTGATGTAAGGCAGTGGAATTTTTGCACAGTATTCGTCCTAGAAATGAAAAGCTCAGATTAAAGCTGTAAATCCCACAGTTCTGTAATTAAACGCTGTCCCTGCAACTCTACTAGTCCTAAAGAAAATGGGTTCCACCATATGGTTTGTGCTGCATGCTCCTGCAGCCCAGTACCTGTACAGGGACGTACCAGAACCTGCTCAAGATTTGGGTCTGCAGAATGATGGGTCTCAAAACATGCCCCCCTCACCTTCCAAACAGGTCGCTGGAGGAAAAGCTCACATGCCATCCTCTCTTGAAGCTGGAGGAGGACACTTTATAATTGAGCATGCAAAGTCCAGTCTATCCACCTGATGGGGGACACCTGCCTTCTCCTCCATTGCTACCGCTGGAAACCTGCAACAGCTCCAAAGCAGGTTGATCAAGATACCAGAAAACGAAAGAAAAAGGAACCAACCACCACAGAGACAGAATAGAGACACAGGGGACTGCTCATAGGTCTTAGCACTAAGGCTGCCCATGCCTTTCAGCCATCACAGCAACTGGCTATTGCTTTTAGGATTGCTGCCCAAAATACAGCAAGAAGAGTCCGCTGTTCTGCGTAGCGGTCAGTAAGCTGGAAAAGAAACACAAGAAGAGACGCTGTGAAAGACGCACAGACAGCCAAGTTATAGACCCTCAACATTACGCCTCAATAATGGAAATAAAAGCGCACAGCAGCAACATTAGCTTTTCTTTTTTAAAGCATCAGAGGTCTCAAACCAGTGACCGAACCGTAACACTTCACATGAGAAACTGAATCTTGCTTGACACGCAGTAAGGAAGCTAAATAGAAACATCGACACCTAAACTTATTCATACGAAAGCTATGTTTCTGGTATTTTTCCATAAGACTCTAAGATAAGGTATTCAAAGACAATGCTTCGGGTCATAAAGCGAAGGTGAGATGAAAAGAAAAACCTCCTGGGCCAGACTCGCAGGCGCAAGAGGCCACTACCCGCCCAATGGCCGCACAGGGGTTCCAGCGAGCGTGGCTGCAAAGCCAGCGGATCTGCGAGACGACGGCGACTTTTTAAGCCGACCTACATTTCACCCATCCCAAACCAGCGTGCGGGAGCGCTGCCTGGGTGAACTCGTGCTCCTCTCTTCGCACGCACGCTGGAGTTAGCTACAGCTCTTCAGTTTTGGAATACTTTGGTGAAATCCCAACCTTCCTCCAGCCGTTTGGGGGAACGAGTGCAGCTCCAGAGGCAGAAACACCCATAGGACACCTCCGTTATATAAACACCGTGTACGTTAGCACTTCCAGCGTTTGCTCTCTCCCACCAAGCTGAGCTAGCACTCAAATCGATAGAGAGAGAGGGGAAGAGGAGGAGGAGGAGGATCTCTTACACAGATCTCTCAACTCCAAGGACAGCTGTGTTTTGGGTTTCTTTTCTGCAGCAGCTCCCACAGCAGATGCCTGAAATGTCAAGATGTCCCAACGGCACCAAGTGTTTCCACAACAAGACGAGGGTCAAAGGAGAAGAACAAGCTTACATCCGCCTTTCCCCACCAGCTCCGGGAGCCGACGCTATTTTTCTTCCCCGGTACAAACACACACAGCCCAGGGTACCTGAAACGAGCCGCTGAAAAGAGCCCACGGAGAGCAGCGCCGGGCAATGGTACCTGGGTGTCCCTCACCTTCTTCACCTCCTTGTGGGGCGGGGGGACACACATGGGACTTCAGCAGGACCCCAGGGCCACTGACCCCGGGGAGGGGGGACACGGGGGGACACGACGACCCCGGCCCTGAGGGGAACTGGGGGGGGGGAAGGACCAGGCCCTGAGTGAGGGGAACACACCGGGCAGGACCCCAACCGGGGGGGGGGCAGCGGCCTACCCACCCCACCGCGGAGGCCGGTGAGGCCCAGGGGACGAAGCGGGGGGCCCCGGCGTGAACCCCGGTGCCCGGAGCGAGCTCCTCCCTCGCCGCCTGGCTACCGCCGTTCTCCCCTCCACCCCACCCGGGACGCGGAGACCGCACCGAGACCACGGGGAGGAAGGAAGGGAAAGCAGGAACGGGCGACCACGACCGGGACTCACCGGGCCCCTCCGGCCCCGCTTCATTTAGCCGCCGCTGCCCCGCTCCTTCCGGCCTGCCCGCCCCACGTGACCGCACCGCCCCGCACCATAGAGAGGAGCGGCGGGGAGCGGAGAGCGGCGAGGGAGAGACGGGCGGCCCGAGCGGTCCCGTCTCGGCAAACCTACCATAGAGGCGGGGGGG